ATTATCCCAGAATATTTATACAGTTTCTATACATGTAGAAGATAAAATTGGTACCCTCATAATTTTGCTTAAGAAATACTCTTAAAAACATATTGTTAGACTAAATACGTATAATTTTTTAGCTTTGTCTACCCAGTATTCATCCACAAAGCCAGATTTCTCTCATTCCTTCTATATTTTTAAATTGTAGGTTATAGAGATCTTTGCTCTCCATGGAGCATAATATTTTATTAAATGTTTAGGTAACATCTGAATTCTTGTGGTGATGAAATATGATAAAATATTTCACAACTTTTAATGTTATCCAGAATATTTTAGGGAATTATTATATTATACCTTCTCTGATAAGAAAATTATTGATAATACCTTAAAAATAGATTTGAATCTTGTTTTAAAGAACTCTTAAATTTACATTGTAACTTCTATAAACAGTGAAGCAAGAGAGAACTCAAAGTTGGAGCATTTTGCTTAAAAATCATGTGAATCGAGACTGTCAGTGTCCTTAAACCTTGTTAATCATGTGACCATCTTTATATTCTTAGAGAATTTTGTGTTTTTGTTATTTTAATTTTTAGATTTCTTATAGAGATGGTAATAATTAAGTGTTTTATTTCCAATTTGTGTGTGGGGGGTGGGGGCTTTTTAAGGTGACTTTTTTGTATATCTCATTTGGGGAAGAAGAATATAATACATCTTGTGACTTCTTAACCTTTTTGTTCTTCTCAAAGACACCGTTGTTCTTGATCATGTTTTGAAGACTGTTTAAAATTCAGTTTTCTAAATTCATGTGGAAATAATGTTTTGAGAATATCAACATTTTATATTAAACCATGTTTCAATTCAATAAGCTGAGGTGTCATTTTTTCTTTACAAATAATCCATTTTGGGTCAGGAGGATAGTTCAGGGTTCATGAGCACATGGCTTGTATGTATAAGAACCTGGTTTGGTCCCCTTCAGTGCATGCCCTTGAGTTCTCTCCCCCCCCCCCCCCCCCCCCCCGTTATCCTGGGTGACCCTGGTGACTCTAGCACTGCTAGGACGGAGTGTCACCAGGCCCTGGCATTGAACCATCTGTCCCTGGAATGGACAGTAGCCCCTAAACACTGCTTGGGGATCTGTCCCCCTGATAAAAGAAACATCTATGCAGTGCATATTGCATAGCGGATTGCTACATTAATCTTCTTCTTCCTGTTTTAAGGAGCACATTGTTAATTTGACTCTCGATTCAGAAAACATTTTTAGAGCTTCTCATACTAGCAGACACTTTTCTACATGTGAAGGCATTAACTCACTTCTGAGTCATTTACAGTCTCCTGGAAGGGAGTTCGACCCGTGGAATGGTGTACATGTGTGTGCTTGGTAGGATTTGATAGCCTCTTATGGGGAAAACCAGGTCAGTCTAGTTTCTCTAGAACTATGTCTAATCTGATTCTGGCATGTACTCTATATTGATCTTTTCAGTGTCATTTTCTAGTCAGATAAAATTATTTATGCCTTGATTACTTTTGACTTAACACTATACCTAACCCCTTTCTTTATAGTAAATGATCTGGTGTTTTCTTTTAGTACTGTTTCTTTTGACATGTAATGAATTAAAATAAACCAAAATGCTAGCTGTATTTGACTTTTTTTTAATCGTGAAAATGACTTTGATTATTGAATTGTGTCTGTATTGGGGGAATTATTAGTGGCTTGCATACTCTTAAGTGCCTGTTTGCTCAGAATTGTACAAAATCCTACTGAAAACACAAACTTTTACTTCCCTCTGAAATCTCTTTTACCAAATTGGTCCCTTTGGAAATGTTGCCAATGGGCTGTTAAAATACCTCATTCTGTGTGTCTGATCTTTCCTTATGCCGATGTGGTCTGCGTCCAGCCAGGTGGACTCCTTTATTATAATAAACAACAAAAAAACACTGTCCTCCCGTTGTTCATCAATTTGCTCGAGCAGGCCCAGTAACGTCTCCATCGTGAGACTTGTTGTTACTGTGTTTGGCATATCGAATACGTTATAGGTAGCTTGCCAGGCTTTGCCGTGCATGCGAGATACTCTCGGTAGCTTGCTGGGCTCTCCGAGAGAGGTGGAGTAATCAAACCCGGCTCAGCCGAGCTGGTTGTGCACAAGGCAAACGCCCTACCACTGTGCTGTTGCTCCAGCACCTTTATTATAATAAATGAATCAATTTTGAACCTTGAGGAAATCCAAATTCTAGACCTTCTAAGGGAGCCAGAGCTCTAATACTGTGGGTAAAGGGCTTGCCTTACATACAACTGATCTGGCTTTGATTCTCAGCACCACAAGTGATCCCCTAGCTCCATCAGGAGTGACCCCTGAGCTCCAAGTCTGAGTAAACCCAAAGCAGTGCTTGGTGTGGCCCCCCCCCCAAAAGAAAACAAGACTCCCAACAAGAATTTCAGATGAAGATTTGCTTCGCTTGGTATTCTAGCATTCTGGATGCTAGTTTCTTTTTGAAGAGCTGCATCCTAATGCAAACAAAATGTGGAGCTAGGTTACAGACTGTGAGTATGAAAGTTATTTTATTGTTTGTTTGGGGGCTACACTTGGCAGTTTCAGGGATTACTCCTTGACTCAGTGCTTGGGATCATTTGTTGTCATGCTCAGGGACCATACATGATGCTGGAAATGGAACCAGGACCACCACATGCAAGACAAGCACACACACCCCTTAAACTCCATAAAGTCACTTTAAAACCCCAAATCATAGATATCTATTCAGAACAGATATAGTAACATTCTACCTCCATACCTTAAGTCTTGCAAATGCTACTCCTTTTTTTAAGAACACCCATTTACTACTTGTTGTAACTTCAAAATCTAACTCAAGTGTTACCACCTTAATAGTTTCTCAAACAATAATTCATTTCCTCTCCTACCTCTCAGAAAAACAAGGTGTACTTTTATTCTATTTAATTATTTATGAACATGTTGTCTTTACTATTTTTTTGTTTTCTTGTTTTCAATTACACCTGGTGGTTCTGAAGGCTTACTCCTGGCTCTGTACCCAGGGATTTCTCCTGGTGGTGCTTGGGAGACAATTAGTGTGCTAGGTATGTTATTGTCTATAGACTGCAGGTTCTTAAAAGACCAGAAACTTTCTTTCTTTCTTTTTCGGTCACACCCGGCAATGCACAGGGATTAATCCTGGCTCATGCACTCAGGAATTACTCCTGGCAGTACCTGGGGGACCATATGGGATGCTGGGAATCGAACCCGGGTCGGCCGCGTGCAAGGCCCTACCCGCTGTGCTATCACTCCAGCCCTAAAGACCAGAAACTTTTTGTGTTCCCTTCATTTACATTTTTATGGAACACAGAGTAAATGCTTAGCTACTTTGAATCCATATGTGATTCTTAGATGATTTGAAGTTAAGGTATGGGTGAAGAAATCTGGTTGTCTTCTTAAGTAAATATTATGGTTATTTCTCAAGTACAGAATTTTATAGTTAGTGTCTTATATGAGCATAACTCTTGGGACAGTTCTTGAGACATAAAAAAAGTTCAAGGATCATCAGTTAAGATTTTGAAATATTTTTAAAAAGAATTTCTGTAAATTAAAAGGATAATATTTTTATCTCTAGGGTAAAAACAAAATTGTTGGTGAAAATTTCAAGTGTTTCATTTTATATCTTGGTTAAATGTTTTAAGCTTCATTTTCTACCTGTTTACCAGGTGCTCCTGTGTTCCTATTCCTTCTCTAATATATTTAACACTGAGAATGATTTTTCCTAAAGTAATTTAGGATTCTCAAGAAAAATATGCTTTTTTTTAATGCTTTTTTCTGGAACAACAGAGGATAAATCCATTACGGCTTAGTAATAATCCTAGGTTCCAAAGGAATTTTGACAAAAATAATCGTTTTCAAACTGGTTTATATGATTAAAAAGAACAGCCCTGAAACAATTTTTATGTAATTTTAATTGTAGTAAGGGATACTCTTTCTTGGTTAAGAGTTAATCGTGTAGATAAACACACTACACATCATGTTTAAGAGCAAATTAACTTACTGAAATTGTGTGACTAGCCAGTGCATGGATGGGATTGGAGGGTTTGTATCATGCTGAGTGCAGTCAGCCAGAAGGAGACAGAAACAGAATAATCTCTCTCATATGGAGGCTCTAAAGAAAAATAGTATGGAAACAGCAAATGGTCAATCATGATAGAACTGGGTTTACAGAACTGGCTTTACCAGGGCTGTTCCAGGGAGTGACTCAAGGGGAACTTGAGACAATGGTGAAGAGAAGCAGACAGCGTTGGAAGATGTGTTTCTGGAATGTTCTATGCATGAAACACTTATTTGCAGACTTGTTAGGTTACAGTGATTCAAATTTTAAAGATAACTAACATAATTATCATTTATACTTTTGCTTAGTACATGCCAGGCAGTATTTTATACATTTTCTGTGCATTAATTAATACATAACAATTCTATCATAAAACAATATTACTATTCCTATGACATTATATAGATTAAAAAATAGGGAAAAATATTCCAGTTTTTTATCAAGGCAAGAAATTTAAGTTTTGTTACAAAGAGAAAGAACTTGTATGTCTTGAATAAGTATCTCAACTCTCAAACCCAGGGAATATGTGAATTTGTCAGATTTGACCAGTAGACAAAGGAAATAAGTATTTTCAGTGGTTTATGAAAACTTATTTTTAATGGGCTCGCTTGTTAACAGGAAGGAGTGTTGGTAAAGAGCTTAGCTGGCTAGATTAGAATAAAGACATAGTTCCTCCCCATCTGCTGTAATTGGTTTAGCTCTCCTGCTTTCATACATGGTGGTTAATTCGGGGAAGAAGCAAGAGGTGTTTTGTAAGGATATTGATTTTTTAAAAAGCAATTTGTAATAATTGTAAATTCTCAAATGTAAACTTTGAAATGTTATGCCTTTCTTGTAACAGTTTGTTACTGGAACTCTTAAGGCTTTGGGTGACCAATTAAGGATTTTGTCCTCTTGTTCTTTTGCTATTAGCCTATATGATTATGTGTCTTCATCTGGGGAAGATTTATCTGGTTATTTTTCTATTTATCCTGATAGAAGAAATCTTTCTACCATCAGCAGGTATTTAATTATGTTGTTTTCTAAATTTTCTTTATATTTTAATATTTTCTCAACTTACTATTTGTTATGATTGTTATAAGGAGTTGAATCAAATTAATTATTGGCATTGCTTTAAACTGTTCTTACATCTCTCTAATAGAGTTTAAGGGAATGTTCAGTGGGCTGAGTGCATACAAAGCATGCCTTGCATGTGAAGGCCTGGGTTCAATGCCCGGCATTACATGATCCCCTGATATTTGCTAGGTATGTCCCAAACAAACAAAAAAAGATCTATCCAATGTTTTGTTTTGGGACCACCCCCAGCAGTGTTCAGAACCAGGTTACTCCTGACTCTGCACTCAGGGATCTCTCCTGGTACTCAGGAGATGAGGATGGACAGCATGCCAGGCAAGCTCCCTGTTGTTTCAGTGATCTCTCCTAACCATCTTCAATAATCTTTGTTTGTTTGTTTGTGTTTTGGGTCACATCCAGTGATGCTCAAGGCTTACTCCTGACTCTGCAGTCATGTATTCCTCTTGGGGTGCTCAGGGGACCATATGGGGTACATAACATTGAACCTGAGTCAGCCGCATGCAAGGCAAATTCCCTACCCACTGTGCTACCACTTGAGCCCCTTCTTACTTAATTCTGATGTAGAAATTGAATATGTACTTTATTTCAATCTGTAACAATCTTGAAATAAAGAAGCAGAAACTATAGAAACAAACTGAATGTCACTTTTCAGTCTATAATCTGAGCATTGCCTTGAAAATCCAAGTGTTACACAAATGTCAGCTTTTATTTTTCATTATATTATCATCATCATCATCATCAGAAACCTTGTCTATACTCTCTGTAGCACAAACCTACTTATCTTTAGAAGAGATCCAAGAGCCCAAGAGTACAGTCTCTTTTCTCATGACTGACTCAGAAGCCACAGATCCTTTTTTCTCTGCTGAAAAGAAAAGATCTCAGTATAACGGAGAAGCAGAGAGAAGGTGGTTGCTTAGAAGAAGGCGATCTACTTTGTTTCCTAACGGAGTCAAAGTTTGTCCAGATGAAAATGTTACAGAGGCTGTGGCAAACCATGTGAAATACTTCAAAGTTCGAGGTAAGTGACCATCCAAACCCTTGGACATTATCATGAATTTTAATTTTTATCTTAATATTTTCATTTCATTAAAGAACTGCGATGTGTATGATGGATTTAAATGTGTTTGTCATATTTATCAGTATAATTAAAAATTTGTAATATCTCAGCGGCTTAGTAAAATACCTTTCTACTAGCCATAGACAAAAAACTTGACAGAGGGGCTGGAGCAATGGCACAGCGAGTAGGGCATTTACCTTGCGAACGGCCAACCCGGGTTCAATTCCCGGCATCCCATATGGTCCCCCAAGCACTGCCAGGAGGGATTCCTGAGTGCATGAGCCAGGAGTAACGCCTGTGCATTGCCGGGTGTGACCCAAAAAGAAAAAAAAACTTGAAAGAATATATTCTGTAGTGTCAAAGTTAATATTACTATCTTCTTCTGACAGTGCCAGGGATTGATCTTGAGGCTTCACACTTAAAAGGCATATGCTCTGCCTCTAAGATACATCCTTGGGAAAAGTTTGCATTATTTTTAGAGAGGAAATCATTTAAATATTTTTGTTACTTAAAATATAACAGTATATATTACTATAGAAATGATAACTTTCTTTGCTATAATTGCCTAAATACAGTCATTATAAATACATAAAATCAAGGTATACTGACAATTTGGTTAGTATTTTACACAATTAAAATTATGTCAAAAATTTGCAATTTAGACATCCTTACAGATTCATGCTGACTACTTTCTTGTTGGCATACATAAAACTGTAGTCTAAAATGATGGTTCTTCTCACAATGGACTTTAAAGCAACAAAACTAGCATTTTATTTCATTTTTAGTTAAGAAATACTATCCATGGTTACATTTTATTTAAACAACCTTTTTATTTCATACCAAAGTTACCCAATTGACATAATATATGTGTCTCATACTTAGAAGCCTCCCAAACATTGCCTTTTGCTGCTCAAGAGCCAACAAAAATCCCGATTTTGGATGTGATGCCAATAAACTAAAGTGGAGGTAGCACTGTAGCACTGTCTTCCCGTTGTTCATCGGTTTGCTCGAGCAGGTCCAGTAACGTCTCCATTATGAGACTTGTTGTTACTGTGTTTGGCATGTTGTATACGTCATGGGGAGCTTGCCAGGCTTTGCTGTGTGGGTGAGATACTCTCGGTAGCTTGCCAGGATCCCCGAGAGGGGTGGAGGAATCGAACGCAGGTCAGCCAGGTCATTCACGTGTAAGGCAAACGTCCTACCCACTGTGCTATCGCTCCAGCCCAAAGTGGAGGCAAATGTTAAAATGATAATAGAAGCATGCTTATTCCCTCATGTATTTAATCAACAACTGACTAAGCATTTAATATTTTCTAGGTATTGGGCTCTATGATTCTTTAGTCTGAGCTGTTAGTTCATCCTCTCCTTTCTTTCTTTCTTTTTTCTTTTTGGGTCACATCTGGCAATGCACAGAGGTTACTCCTGGCTCTGCGCTCAGGATTTACTCCTGGGAGCCTCGGGGGACCCTATGGGATGCTGGGAATCAAACCCAGGTTGGCGCGTGCAAGGCAAACACCCTACCCTCTGTGCTGTCTTCAGCCCCCATCCTCCTTTCTTTTCTTCTCTTTCTAATTTTTTTCTTCTCTTTCCGTATAAAAGCAAACATCTTTAAAAAAATAGTTTAATGCAAGATTTTACACATATGTATTTGATTTTGTTTATTACACTGCATTAAATAAAATCTCTTGATTGGGCTGGAGCTACAGTACAGTAGATAGGGTACTTACCTTGCACGTGATTGACCCAGGTCCAATCCCTGGCAGAACATATGGTCCTTCAGGCACCACCGGGGGTGCAGAGCCAAGAGTAATTTCTGAGCATTATCGGGTGTGGCCCCCAAACAAACAAACAACAATCTCTTGATTATATTTGGGGTAATCAATTATTACTGAACTATAGGTTTTTTAAAAAAAAGTTTTAATATAATAATAATAATCATTATTATTATTATTATTATTTGGTTTTTAGGCCTTACCCAGTGGTGCCCAGGTACATACTCTTATGGAGTGCCAGGGATCGAATCTGGGTCAGCCACATGCAGGGTAAGCATCTTACCTGCTCTAAAATCTCTCTGGTTCCTGATTTTACATTTTATGATTTTTTTTCTTTTTGGGGCACACCCAGTGATGCACAGGGGTTACTCCTGGCTTTGCATTCAGAAATTACTCCTGGCGGTGCTCAGGAGACCATATGGGATGCTGGGAATCGAACCCAGGTCAGTTACATGCAAGGCAAACGCCCTACCTGCTGTGCTGTTGCTCCAGGCCCTGATTTCACATTTTAAATGGAAACCTACTGACCATGCCTCTTGTGTGTAAGGTGTTTATGTGATAGAGGTGGCAAACTCCAATAAAAAATGGAAAGAGAATAAAGGAAATAATGATTAATGATAATTTATAATTAACCACATTAAGATTTCTGTGACCTGGATTTTTACTTATTTAATTTAAAAATAGATTGAAATCTCTCTATAGCTGCTGGCTAAATAGGAGAAAAAAATCAATAATAAAAGGAATCTGGTTATCCTTCATTGTACCATTTCTCATCAGTCTCATCAGGGACCATATGCCTCCTTGTAGATCCTGAGGATATTCCAAGGGGGCACAGGTGAAAACCACATATATGGGGGCCACAGCACAGGATTAGAGGGCTGCAGAGGGAAGTGAGAAGGGAAGAGAATAGGGAAGTGACAGAGAAAAGAAAAAAAGTTGGAAGAAAGATTAAGGGACACTGGTTTAATACTTTCACTCTTGTGAAAAAAGTTTAAGAGAAAAAAGTTTAAAAGAAAGAAGTTTAAGAGATACCATTTAAAAAGAAGCAAATCGATACTGGGGACATTGGTGGTGGAAAGTTGGCACTGGTGGAGGGATGGGTATTCGATCATTGTATGGATGAATCTCAAACATGAAAGCTTTGTAACTGTGTCTCACAGTGGTTCAATAAAATACATAAATTTTTTTAAAAAGGTAAAGGTAAAGGTAAAGGCCCTCCCGTTGATCATCGATTTGCTCGAGCGGGCCCAGTAACGTCTCCATTGGAGACTTTGTTGTTACTGTGTCTGGCATATCGAATACTCTCGGTAGCTTGCCGGGCTCTCCGAGAGGGGTGGAGGAATCGAACTCGGGTCGGCCATGTTGGCCGCTTGTAAGGCGAACGCCCTACCCGCTGTGCTATCACTCCAGGTTTTGTTTAGGTTTTGTTATCTTCTTTACTTTTGTTATCTTCTTTTACTTTTGTTATCTTCTTTACTTTTGTTATCTTCTTTTACTTTTGTTATCTTCTTTACTTTTGTTATCTTCTTTACCTGTAGTACTTTTGTTATCTTCTTTACCTGTAGTAATTATTATGGTATGCTCCTATTTTTGTGTAGCAGTTTGCAATTATTTATTTTTTTGCCTTTTTGGGTCACACCCAGCAATGCACAGGGGTTACTCCTGGCTTTGCACTCAGGAATTACTCCTGGCAGTGCTCAGGGGACCATATGGGATGCTGGGAATCGAACCGGGGTTGGCCACGTGCAAGGCAAACATCCTACCTGCTGTACTATCATTTCAGCCCCTGTAACCTTTTATTCTTAATGTGTGTATATACTACATTTGGGGATATTTCAATTGTTTTTAGTTACAGACAGTTACAAAGTTCTGACATTTGTATACAAGTTTATGCTTTCATTTCTATTGGATAATGTAACTGGAAAGTGGCCTGTTTTCTACTGAAGATCAGTTCTTATGTTCTTTGTTTCTGTTATCTTTGGTCATTTGTTATTCCCATATTATGTTTCTTTATGTCCCACATATGAGTAAGACCATTCTATGTGAGTCTCTATCCCTCTAATTTCACCCAGTACTTGTTTTACAGACCCATCCATGTAGAATGATTTTATCTTTTCTCATGGATGAGTAATACTCTGTTTTGTATCTGTACCATAGTTTATCCAGTCATCTATTGGCTTGTTTCCAGATTTTGGATATTGTGGATAGTACTACAAGAAACGTAGGGTTGCAAATGTCTTTTCTCTTTTCTCCATTTTATTTTGGGCCCCTTAGGGTGTATTCGAAGAAGTGGAATTGCTGGGTCAAATGAAACTCAATTCCTAGTTTTTTAGGAATGTCCATGTTGTCTTCCAGAAAGACCAAACCAGATGACATTCCCACTGGCAGTGGATGAAAGTCCCTTTCTCCCCATATCCACATCGGCACTGGTTGTTCTTGTTATTTTTTGATGTGTGCCAGTTTCTTTAGCGTGAGGTGATATCTCATTGTTATTTCGATTGGTATTTCCCTGATGATTACTGATGCAGAGCATTTTTCTTGTACCTTTTGATGACTTGTATTTTTTTCTTTGAGGAAATTTCTGTTCATATCTTCTCCCCATTTTTTGATGGGGTTCGGTGTTTATTCTTGTAAAGTTCTACCAGTGCTTTTTATATACCTTGGAAATTAACCCTTTATCAGTTTAGTAATGGGCAAATAATTTCTACTACTCCCTGGAGTATCTGTATATTTTGGTCACCACTTACTTTGAAGTGCAGAAACTTTTTAATTTAATGTAGTCCTGTTTGTTTATCTTTGTTTCTATATGACTGATTTTAATTAGAAGTTTCAATCATTTAAAAGATGGAAATGTAGGGCAATACTTTATTATTTCAGTATGATGAATTTCTCAATATAAGGAAAAATTTACACTGATAATTAAAAGGATGAAGCTATAAAACACTTGCGTTTTAAACTGAGTATGGTAATAATATATGACACATATACATGTACAAATATTAGTTTCTAATACATATGGAAAAGTCTTACAACTCAAAACAGAAGAATATCACAAACTGTCTAGCAAATTATCAAAGTTAAAAATTAAACAGAGGGGAGTATTACATTATAAGACAAATGCCTCGACTATTGGCATGAAAATACAAGTAAAATTGCTAATCATGGACTGAAGAGATGGCTCAAAGGGCT